CGGCTATTTTTTGGTTGCAGCCGTCGTTGTTTTGGCGGGTCCAGGCTGGGGATTTGAACCCGCCACCTTAGGTGTACATGGCTGGCACCTTAGCCGGTTGAGCTATAGGCGCCGAGCCGAGGTTACTTTTTCATCTGAGACCTAAAATAATTTGTTATGAGATCAGAGATGGGGCAAAGAAACTTCAGGTTTCTAGATTGGAATTATAGGCACTTATTTTTTAGATTGTTCGTCTGCAGTATGAGTTTTATTTTAAATCATTCTACTCACTTTGATAGTTTCTCTGGTCTTTTTTTCTTTTTCTTTTTGACAGAGTCTTGCTCTGCCACTGGGCTAGAGTATAGTGGCATCATATTATAGCTCACAGCAACTTCAAATTCCTGGGCTCAAGCATTTCTCCTGCCTCAGCCTTTCAGGGAGCTGGGACCACAGGTGCCTGCCACAAGGCCTAGCTATTTTTTTTTCTTTGTTGTTGTTGCAATTGCCATTGTTGCCTAAGCTGATCCAGGCTGGGTTTGAACCTACCGACCTCGGTGTATGTGGCTGGCGCTCTACCCACTGAGCCACGGGCACTGCCCTCTCCCTGCTACTTTTATCTGACCTGGCACTGTCCAATCTAAATGTTAGCCACAAATACCAGTACATATATATTTTTAATTTTCTAGTCCCTACATTAATAAAGTAAAAATAAAGAAGTGAAGTTAATTTTAAAATTACATTTAATTTACCCTACTGTATCTAAAATATTTCTTTTTTTGTTTGTTTTTTGAGACAAAGTCATCCTCGGTAAAGTGTTGTGGCAGCGTCACACTGCTCACAGCAGCCTCCAGCTCTTGGGCTTAGGTGATTCTCTTGCCTCAGCTGCCCAAGTATCTGAGACTACCGGTGCTCGCCACAACGCCTGGCTATTTTTTTTGTTGCGGTTTGGCTGGGGCCAAGTTTAAACCTGCCACCCTTGGTATATGGGGCCAGCGCCCTACTCACTAAGCCACAGGCACCGCCCAGTTTTTGGCCAGGGCCAGGTTTGAACCCACCACCTCTGGTATATGGGGCCGTC